GAAACAAGGTAGGCACTCATCTTATTTCCTTTCAAAGGTAAGGGAGCAGATGTGTGTGCTGGTCGAAAGATCATATATGATTACCTTTGTATGGGTCCCCTCACATTGCTCAATCCCAGGCAATGAGAAGGCGGACTCTCTCGCAAAGGTGGGCGCGCAGGAAGGCGAATTGTATGACAGGCAAATTTCACACGATGAATTTTACCATTTAGTGCGTCAGAGTACCTTTTCGAGTTGGCAAACCGATTGGGACACTGGAAATCTTGGACGGTGGTTACATTCAATTATTCCTAATGTTTCTTCGAGAGCGTGGTTTAAAGGCTTGGGCTTAAGTCGTGACTTCATTCGCGTGATGAGTAGACTTATGTCCAACCACTACTCGCTAGATGCTCATCTCAATAGAATAAACCTCGTGGACAGCAACATCTGTCGGTGTGGAAACGGTTACGATGACATCGAACACGCAGTTTGGCAATGTACGGATAATGACGCCGCCAGAGAGCGACTTTTGAATACCCTCGAGGCCCAAGGAAGACAACCCTATGTTCCTATGAGAGACGTGTTGGCAACCCGTGATCTCTGCTATATGCAGTCCGTTTACGTTTTTCTTCAAATGTCTAGTATAAGAATTTAATTCCTTTTGTCTTTTGTCTCTCTTTATTAGTTTTTGTTTGTCTTGTCCCCCCGTCTCGATGAGTCTCATCGTCGCCCACTGGTCACCCACCATAGCCGGTCGAACTCTGGACGAAGCTAGAACAGCACTACCGTTCATACTGGCGACAACGCTCTGATGAGACAACGAAACCCTACCCCAAGCTCCTCCCCTGATCCTATCCTTCGAAAATGTACCCTTCTAACCTCGAGCAAGCCGCGAGTAATCGGCCCAACTCCTACTAGACATAGAATTAAGTGAATTTTGTTACACACAGTGAACAATGAATTATCGGCTCCGTAAAGCTAACGCGATTGAGCCTTCCAAATAAACGAACTAGATAAAAAAAAGAATAAATTATGGAATGATTTTTTGAATGTTTTTATCCCATTAAAAATGTTGATTAAAACAAGATTTTTATGGAAAATTCGTGGGAAAAAAAAAAAAGGCTGTAAGTTTTTAAATGACTTCAAAATTAAATTTTTAATTAAGACATAATATTCTAGTGAACGATAGAAATTTATTTAGCTTCACTCTCATAAAAAAAGATTTAAAATTGGTGCACTAGTTCCAAAGATATTGACATTTTAGTAATCGTACTTTTGTCCAAAATTCAAAAAATCAAAATTTTTGTATATCTCAAAAATGGCTCTACTTTAATTTTTTCTGACCACGGCATTGAATTCAGCGTAGGATTTTGCATTAGAAACGTTGGTCAACCACTAAAGTTCACACTTTTTATGTTATTTTGTAAACTAGTGTAAGCAGGGAACATGGCACTCTTCCTAATGCAAAACCCACCACCTCCATCGAACTCTTTGAATCACAACACATTATAAACAACGAAATTATCTGCAAGCATCAAATTTATTCTTTTTCTTCCCGGACGCGTACACAGAATTTTATAAAATACGAGTAGGCACAAGTCCATTTGATCCGCAACTTGCCACCGAGTTCATTAAGAAATATCAGCAACAACCACTTTTACCTTGCACTATAGACGAGTGCACGGATGTCGACAAAAAGTGACACAACAGCGGGGCCCTGTTTACTAAAAATGAACACATATGTGTTCATTTTTAGTAAACAGGGCCCCGCTGTTGTGTCACTTTTTGTCGAGTGAATGAACTCAAATTCATCCGTGCACTCGTCTATTAGGTTTTGCACCGTCGGGGTTAACCTCAATCTGATGACAGTTCAGTGGTACTGTTTACGTGGACTTAGTCGTATTTTTCTTGGGTAGATTTTCTCGATAATTTTTCAGACTGCAGTGAGATGTAAACCACACTTCTGCATTGTCCACGAGCAACATCCTTTCACCGCGCTGTTCCTCGACAATTTTCAAGTTAAAATTCGGAAATTTTAGAATTTTTTTTTCGAAAAAACGACTAAGTGCTTGTAAACAGTACCACTGAACTGTCAAAAAGGTTCAGCCTATTAACACTGAGTTCATTTGTGACGTCACGCTGCAGAACCTAATAGTAGGTCAACAGGCATTAGGTACTGCAGCGTGACGTCACGAATGAACTCAGTGTTAATCGGCTGAACCTTTTTGACAGTTCAGTGGTACTGTTTACAAGCACTTAGTCGTTTTTTTTTCGAAAAAAAAAATCTGAAATTTCCGAATTTTAACTTGAAAATTGTCGAGGAACAGCGCGTTGCAAGGATTTTGCTCGTGAACATTGCAGAAACGTGGTTTACATCTCACTGCAGTCTGAAAAATTATCGAGGAAATCCACCCAAGAAAAAATCGACTAAGTCCACGTAAACAGTACTACCACAAACGAAGTGACAGACGACTAACTGGCGAAGAAATCCATTTAAATAATGTGGTTCACTGTAATAGAATTTTCTTGGAAGCTTGTGCCATCATCCACCAGATGGGTTAGTTTTTTTGTTTTGATTTGAACAAAGTTGATTTTGTGTACAATGATTCTTTGACAGTGTGCAAAGAGTGCGTATCATTTTGTAATTTTTTTATGCATTTTAGTTTTGAGTAGAGTGAAAGAGATAGAACCAAAACATTCTAATACATTTGGTGAAAATGCTAGTACAATCCAGTAGTAGTGTTGCCATGTGGTACAATCTAGTAGTAGTGGTGTTGCCATGTGGTACACTGAAGAATTGAAATAGCCGGTTAGTCACCAAAGTTTTCGAGCCGCTCCGTCTGTCACTTCGTTTGTGGTACTACTAAACTGTCATCAGATTGAGGTTAACCCCGACGGTGTAAAACCTAATTGTGACTACTTCTCCGAGTACTTCTCCGACTCTTGTCACTTATTAACAAGGCATAAAAAGTAACATGGACTAAAATGTGTTCCTTTGATTACTTTGATAACTGAAAAATTATGTTCCCGTAGTTTGAAGTTGTCAGGACTAGGGTTCGGAAATAGATTTTATACCAGTAACGCACCACGAAAAGGTGATCTACCAGCGCACAGTGGTCCAGAATGCAAATTTAGGTGGAATGATATGTTTTGAGCCGGAAATTGAAACTTTAGACTAAAAGTCTCTTCTACAAGGTATTGACAAGCTTTGTGCGGCAAAAATTTGCGCCTTCTTAAGATCTAAAAGTTATTTGGAGACACCTTTGCTGAGAAATTCGAAATAAGAAAACTAGAGCAAAACAACTGTTTTTTTTAGAACCACCCTAACTCAATTCAAGAAAATAGCTCTAAATCGGCCAATTTAAGAGATACAAAAAAGTTGTTTTCTACAAAGTTGCTATAGCTCAGCTATAAATTTGCAAAAGAATGTATACCTTAATTTATTCAAACAAATAAGTTAAATTTTTGATTTTAATGATAATAGGAACCACCCTAGAATTCATTGTCATAAAAATGAGGGCATAACTATAAGGAACAACTTGGTAGAATAGACTTTTAGTCTAAAGTTTCAATTTCCGGCTCAAAACATATCATTCCACCTTAATCTGCATTCTGGACCACTGTGCAGCGTTACTGGTTATATGTCAGATGCGAACAAAAAGTGCGAAAAGCCTGTTTTGCTACACTGTCTAAAATTTATAAAAGGAACAAAATGTATGATCATACAAGTACCTACAAGATTTTTTTTCTAATTTATTTTTGTGAAGTTAACCTCAGGATATGACATAAATATAACTGGAGAAACTTATTTAATTTTAAAATATTTTTTATGGATTTGAAAAAATTACCTACAACTTATTTTCGATTAAATACGAACCTGAGAAATTGTGGCGAAATTTGAATGACTAGTCTTAGAGCCTTAGATTCGTTCCCAAAATCCTTTAGACTCACTTTTGAAGTCCTGCCGGTTCTTCAAAGATGTTTACTACGAGATTTCCCTTTGCAATTAGCAATGCAATATGTTGACATTATTGTGACCATATTAACTAAATAATATATTTATTTTATACACATTCTTAGCCTTAGGATATTTGCTGTATTGTAAATGTAGAGATAATTTTACGGATAATTTACGCAAACTATCCGGAAAATACTTATTTCTTCTGTTCAGCGGTAGATAAATCTTGAATTACGTAGTCAGTATGTTAATTGGAACTAATTAGCATATGTCATAATTTGTTTCTCTTGCAAGGGCTCGTCTTGTGTCAACATACTTAGATGTATTCACTTCACGCCGTACGGTACGGTCTATTATGCAGTAATACGTGAAACTAATCAAACATGCATAATTAAATAGCTAATGGCTAAAATTAACACCCATCAAACAGTGGGTAGCACTGGGATCACTGATATTTGATCGCAATCATTATGATCGTCATTCCAGGCGAGCAGTGTAGCTGTAGGTATTAACAAACCAGTTTAATTGGCAATGCAAAACGTGTGCTTGGGCGCTCACACCATTTCGCAGAGCTATCGATTGGACCACGCGGTGACGCAGTTGGCGGCACTGATGGTAACGGCGGCGCTCCATCGATAAACGGGTTTCACTTTCACTTCCATCCTAGGGCCTAGGTGGAACATGGTATGCTCTTCTGTGCGTTCTAATTCGGATTCAGGAATGAAGGAAACGTTTTTCAAATTTTAACTTCATAAAACAGGGACTACATTATGCCTACATTTTTTTTTTTTAAATATGTGATTCAATCTAGTGTGGAGTTTAACGGATCGATTACAATACTAGCGCGGTTGATGAAAGTCTTAGGTCAACCATGAAAGAGAGTGTACACACTCAAAATACGTACAAAAAAAATCACTTGGGCCGCACGCCGAATGGCAATGTCACGGCATACATATGGAGACAGTCACGAGCCCCCCGGAACAGAAATTTCTCTCTCTGCTCAGTTCAGCTACGGCAACGGTTTCGTGCGGTTCGAAAAAATTTAAACACGCTAATCTGGCATTTCGCATTTGGCAAGAGTGTAAAAGGCGAAAATCAAGCATATCGTATTGAAAAATGCTCCACACTTTCGGTTACCTAAGGCACCCCGCTGCGGTGTTGTTTTCTCTTAGCCTCGTTTGCGGGGCTATAATTTTCCCGAGGGTCCCGGATGTCCTTAATCCGCCCGTTCCGGATAGTGTTGATCTGGTAGAACAATCCGCTGCTCTACAGGAAGGAAATCAGGACCCGGAAGTGACACCTGGGTTGTTTCAGGGTGATATGGCCCTGGACAACCGCATGTACAAATACTGGAGAGTTGGTCTCAAGTGGGATGTCTTCCCGGAGCGGAAATGGCCCAATGGGACCGTTCCCTACGCTATTAGCCCGTTATACGACGTCGATGATCAAGTCACGATACTACAGGCAGTCAGAACGCTGAACTTCATGACGTGTGTAAAGTTTGTACAGTGGAATGGAAAGGATAAGGACTTCCTGCTAATTTGGCCGATCAAGTACCCCAAAGGATGCTGGAGCTATGTAGGAAAGACAGGTGGAACCCAGATTGTGTCGCTGCAACCGCCAGATCATCAAAGTGTGAATTGCTTGGGGAATGAAGGACGTGCGATTCACGAGCTGATGCACGCGATTGGTCTATTTCACGAGCAGTCTAGAGCCGACCGCGATCGATTTGTTAAAATAAACTGGGACAATATCATTCCAGGTTAGTGCGGTTAACATGTTAAGTAAATTGTCAGTGATATAAATACAGATTTAAGTTATTGATCAATTCAACAATGTAAGGTAAATCAACGGAATTACATGGTCATTGAACTGAAACATAATAACATTGACAATACTTGAAGCAGGATATAATTTTGCATAAGCTCAGAAGTTCGTTAAAGAGTTATAAATGAGCATCCAGAAAACAATTTGAAATAGTGTGGGAAAAACCTCTAATTAAATTTATTGATGATCCAGCGAGTGAAAATCGCTCAGTTAATTGGTTACATAACCAATTCATGTCAGTTTAAATCCATTGTTTTCAGATTTGGCTATTCCTACCATGAAAGCCACTTAAATTGCAATCTAATCTTCTTCTGATCTCTACTGTTACGCCATCTTCAAGAATAATAAAATTCAAAATAATATTGGATAAGCTACACCAGAGCAAGGGGGACCCGAGAGGGACGACTCTATCTACGATGCAGGAAATATTGTGTTTTGCTATGGCTAGCTGCGCGTACGCTGAGTAGATAGAAAGAAGATTTTTTTCACGATGTTGGAGATTTCCTGCAAAAAAATGATGCGCGATGCAACTAGATGCGAGAAATGAAAGAAGAATTGAGATTTAGATGTGTCGCCCCCCTCGGGGGGGACCAACAAATTTTATAGTTCAGCTTCATGCGATTGTGTAATGAAAAATAATATTTTTTTAATATTTTCAAAGCATTAGTAATTATCTGTAAGCATCCCTGCAGAATTTTGAGCTTTTTTTTTTGAGGCTCTGGTCCAAATTTGAGCTAAATCGGGTATTATTTAACCCATTTCTCAAGCGGGTTGAAGTTTGTAGGGGAAAAATCAGCAAAATGTATGGAGAGCCACCATGTCTAACAACTTTTCCGAAGACCGGAAGACGATCCGAGATGATTGGAAAAATTATTAGCATGTTTTGAAGTGATGTCTGACTGATACTAGGAAAAGGCCTAACACAGTAATTTGAAATTCAACCATTCATGCAATTTTGATTATCCAGTATGATCAGAAAAGTAAATCGGTGCTGTTTATTTGTTTGGTACGGTTAGGTTGACGCATTAGGGGGAGAGGAGTTTATGTTGTCCAAAGTAGAAATACTCAGAGGGAGAGATGGGCGGAGAGAATGTTTTGAGCCAAATGAACTGTCAAAATCTAAGCCAATCGAACATTTCAATTAGAATTTTCCGAGGATTTCTTATTCTTACTAGAATAAATTTGAGAGTATTGCAATCGAACAGAAATTCAATCACCTTTATGTTTTGTGTGCTTCTCAAATTCAACTAGTTTTTGGAACCAAAAACAATATTCTAACTCTATTGATTAATTGATCTTCGTTGGTTAATGAATGGCACCAAGAAATGCGCAAAATATTGCGAAGCAATCGATTATTAGTTTTGCACGTAAATCGAATCAAAAATAAAAGTCATTTGAAATGCTAGCTTCTAGCAAGGGTTGAAAGATAATTTAGGAACAAATCCCTGCTGCCGAATTGACCAGTTTTGGCGTGACTTTCTACCAGCGATATCACAAAACTGGACCAACTAAGTTCTATTTTTTTATGAAACGCACAAATGTTGGCTACTTTTCTCGTGGTTCTAGAAGAAAAAATCTCAAAATAATGTTTTATTTCAAAGTTCGAGTGGTGGTAAACGTCATTTTATCTGCTCGAATGAAGCACAGAAACAAAATACATTGGCAAGAATACTATATTGATGGTTTAAATTAAATACTCCCACCAATAGATTTTTGCAGAAACGAAATTCATTTAATTTTACTATTTTTTCTATCAAAACTACTATCCCGTAGAAATCATGGTAGATTTAACGGTATTAAGCGTAGTTATACTGAAAATAATTTTTTTCTGCAAAATAGTATTCCTAACTATGGTCATTGTTTCAGTGTATGCATTAAATACATTACACGCAGAAAAATATTTTAAACGTAATAATATTTGCCGTAAAATCAATAAGAATTTCATTTTGTTTTAGCGTTAGCGTTAGCGTTGTTATGATATACTTCGTAGATTGGATACTAGCGACACTCATGTCTCTTCTGAAATTCTCAGTAAGACTACTTTCAGGAATAATGCTGGGGAGTAAACGTTGGTTTCAATCTAAACAAGATCAACAGAAGCATGACTGTCGCTATTCCTGGCCACGCCCATCTTTACCATATCTAGGGATATAGAAGGCAACAGATGTAATACTTACTTAACGAGAGGCCACCGACTTAGCGACACCCTCATAAGTGCTACGGAGTTGGAGGGTTGGGTAGGGTATTCGGTTAGGATTCACCTCAAGTTGGCGATGCAACCAAAAGTATGTATTGTTTATTTGCTGTTTATTTAATCTCTCGATAGCCGGCTATCGAAAGAACATATTCATTTTGTTTAGTGATCATGAATTTTAAGAGTCATGACGGAGAGCTTGGGATAAACCTATGATTTTCTGCTCAGTAAGCAAAAACGATCCCTCCAGGGTCATCGAGCATCTCAGAACCATAACGCTTCGCGAAAATGCAGGACTACGTTTTCGCTTAATATGCAAATAGTTTCCGAGGTTAATGTTCAATATCAAATATACAAATGATGGTGGCGAATTATTGTGCTGTGGAAGAGCTTGAAATTAAATCCATGATTTTCTGCTCAGTAAGCAAAATCGATCCCTCCAGGGTCATCGAGCATCTCATAATGCACAGCGCTTCGCGTCAATGTACGAATATATAAGAATTTCATTTTGTTTTGGCTACAAAAAGAAATCCTTATTGTTTCAACAATCCAGTATTTTTGTTCCTTAAAATCCATGGATTGTTAAATCAAAAAGAAAATCTTTTCGAATTTACAAGAGCTTTCATGGTTTTGACCGAGGGGGACGACTCTATCTACTATATGCAGAAAAGATTGTGGTTTGTTGTTGGTAGCTGCGCGCACGCTGAGTAGATAGAAAGAAGATTGATGATGATTCTGAAGATTTCCTGCAAAAAGATGATGCGCGATGCAAGTAGATGCGACAAATGAAAAAACTGAATCATACGAGAACAGTTTTGTGTTATTGTTTACATTTTTGTCCAGGTGAAAACGAGGGAATGGTTGGTAGTTATTTTTGCATGCATAGTCCGGGGAATGGACACAACAAATAAATGCTAAATTAAATTTAACTATTGTTGGCTAAATAAAAGAATATTGTTATTTTTACAATAGTTGCAGTTTATGTTGAGTTAGTGGATTTTAAACTCAGTGGGAAATGTTCTCCACCTGAGGGATTGATAAGCGAACCTCAGTGAGATTATCACCACCTGAGGAAAACTAATTTTATTAACTGGCTTTTTCTTTATACTCAGAGGGAAATTCTACCTCCTGAGGGCCAAAACCATTTGATTCCTGAAAAACCCCATCAAAATACAAATGCAGGCTTTTGGATTGTTCAAATATCAAAACAAGTAAACAGATAGGAATAAACTCCTTCTCTTTATTAAATACCTGTTACTGATATACAAAAATGTATTTCTAGAATACATAAGTTTAGGTAACCTCAGTTGAACTTTTTTTTTTTTTTAACTTTGAATGATCTATATTTCTTGTATTTGTTTGGTTTACATGTATGAATTTTCAAGTGACACAGATGCGTCTTTTCAACTTTAGTTATTTTGAAATTTTTAATTATTATTTACTGTTCCTAGTCCTATCAGGCCTGTTAAAGTATGACCACCTTAGTGGGATTGGTTTGTTTTGAATTGGAAAAAGGAGACTACTTAAAACTACTATTTACAGCTACAACTAATCTACAACTACTATATACACCTAACCTACTATATACAAATTGCTTATCAAAGCATGTTCTGATGTATTGCATTTCTGTACAAATTTGTTCCTAGTTTCGTTAATTTGAAAATCTACTTTCGGGATGTTAGCCTCTTGATGGAGGTCGGAAATGCGGGTATCGAAAGGACGATCTAGGATCATCCTCAATACCCTGTTTTGCGCTACCTGTATTTTGTTCCTGTGAGTTTGTGCACATGATTCCCACACCGGAGCTGCGTAGAAGATCGCAGGCGCAATGATTTGTTTGTAGACAGCCAGTTTGTTCACCCTAGAGAGACGAAATCTGCGGCAAATAAGTGGATACAAGCACCTAACTAGATTGGAACACTTAACTACTGCCCTATCTATGTGCGAGCGGAAAAGGAGCTTTTCGTCAAATAACATACCAAGATATGTTACTTCGGTGGACCACTCAACCCTTGTGCCATCCATTATTACAGTACAAGAGGGAGCCGGTTTTAGTTTGGGAGACTGTCGATGGAGGAACATTATTGATTGGGTTTTGGAGGCATTGATTTTGATTTTCCACGTGTTGGCATAATCAGCAAAGGCGTCAAGGCATCGTTGAAGTTTGTTTGTTATTTCACGAGGCCTCCTTCCCTTAACGGTAATAGCGGTATCATCTGCGAACAGGAAGAACACGCAACCGTTGCCCAAGGGAGGAATGTCGGAAGTGTAGATGCTGTATAGCAAAGGGCCCAACAGGCTACCTTGCGGAACACCTGCTGGGATGGAAAAGGTGTTTGAATTGCAACCATTCAACGATACCTTAAACGACCTTTGCTGGAGGTAGTTACGGGTGATTTTTACAAGATGTGGTGGAAAGTTGAAGTTACAAAGCTTGTATACAAGCCCATTGTGCCAGACATTATCAAACGCTTTCTCAACGTCTAACAATGCCATGGCTGTAGACTTGGATACAGCTTTGTTACTTCGAATGTTATTCATCACCCGAACTAGCTGGTGATTTGTGGAATGCCCTTTCCTAAGCCCAAACTGTTCAGCTAGGAGAATGTTGTTCTCCTCGACAAAATTGAGCAAACGATTGAGAATTAGTTTCTCGAACAATTTGCTCAGCGCTGAAAGGAGGCTGATTGGTCTATAGCTGGAAGGTAGTGATGGATCTTTACCGGGTTTGCGGATTGGTA